TATTTATTTGTCAACAAGAGAGAGCATGCACAAGCAGGGGAAACGGCAGGCAGAGGAAGAAGCAGGCCCCCCACTGAACAAGGAGCCCGATGCAGGACTCGATCCCAGGACCCCGGGGTCATGACCCGAGCCAAAGCCAGAAGCCTAACCAACTGAGCCACCCAGGCACCCCTAATTTTTATCTTCTTTAAAATGAGATATTATAGATAACCTCTTTAATCCTGTCTTCTATTATCATGGGTGATATTCAACACTTAGAAGTAAACCAAGTACCTGGTATTATGGGAAGATGTGTACCTCTTTCTCCACCAAATCAGCCAGAAACCTTACGAGAAAGTAAAAACATGTATTTAGCTCCTCCCCTTTTTATGTTAAATAGAGTTTCTCATTAACACTGAAAGTATATGGCTGGTATGCGAGGAACAATGAGAGGACTCTGCTAACCCATAAACTGGGTATTAAACAGACCTGGGGAGATGTCCTGTTGGCCATATAGGTCAGTGATATATTCAGCCTGGCCCCATAGCTATATTCTCTGTTTTGACACTTACTTTTTAGCTCTCATGGGTATTTTCTAACCGAAATAGTATTGTAAGTCATCTTTCTTCACTTTGCTAGTGCTTTATCTTCTGGTATTTAAACTGTCAGAGGGAGGGGCGCCTGGGTGGCTCAGTCGTTAGGCGTCTGCCTTCGGCTCAGGTCATGATCCCAGGGTCCTGGGATCGAGCCCCACATGAGGCTCCCTACTCAGCAGGAAGCCTGCTTCTCTCTCTCTTGCTCTCTCTCTCTCTGTCAAATAAATAAATAAGATCTTAAAAAAAAAAAAAAACTGTCAGAGGGAATAGAATGCATGCAGTTTCCGTCTTAAAGTTATAGGCAGCAAACACCCTGAGTGAATACCCGGAAGAATTGGTTAAGAAGTCATTGAAGGATCAAAACAGATCTCTTCGTTTAGGTGCATGATTATAATCTTTGTATACTAGAGACCGTATAATTATAAAATGATTCCTTTTTGGCTTTTATATGCAGTAATACACAATTATAACATTTAAATTGTGGATATTGGCCCATTGTTAGGTGGCCAATTTTTTTTGTTTTTCATTTTTTCTCTTCTGTATCTATCTTTATTTGCACTTCTGAAAAGTTATAGTGTCATTCTCACTACACCAGTACAGAATGCTACCTCAGAAGTGGTTGGTCTTTTTTTTAATGTGTTATCACTTTTATTTATTTATTTATTTTTCCAAGTTTTAATTTAAATTTCAGTTGGTTAACATACAATGTAATATGAGTTTCAGGTGTAGAATTTAGTGAGTCAGCACTTCCATATCACACCCACTGCTCATCACAACAAGTGCCCTCCGTCATCCCCATCACCTATTCAACCCAAATCGTCTCCTCCCACATCTCCCCTCTGGTAACCATCAATTTGTTCTGAACAGTTAAGAGTCTGTTTCTTGGTTTTCCTCTCTTCCCCCACACCCGGTGCCAAATTCCTTTGTTTCTTAAATTCCACATGAGTGAAATCATACGGTATTTGTCTTTCTCTGACTGACTTAGCTTAGCTCCACCCATGTCAAATGGCAAGACTTCATTCTTTTTTATGGCTGTGTAATATTCCTGTGTGTGTGTGTGTGTGTACGTACATACATATGTACACACACATACCACATCTTTATCCATTCATCAGTTGATGGACACTTGGGCTCTTTCCATAATTTGGCTATTGTTGATAATGCTGCTGAAAACATCGGGTGCATGTAACCCTTTGAATTAATATTTTTGTATCCCTTGGGTAAGTACCTAGTAGTGCAATTGCTGGGTCATAGGGTAGTTCTGTTTTTAACTTTTTTTGAGGAACCTCCATACTGTTTCCAGAGTGGCTGCACCTGCTTGCATTCCCACCAACAGTGTAAGAGGGTTCCCCTTTCTCTGCATCCTTGCCAACATTTGTTGTTTCCCGTGGTGTTAATTTTAGCCATTCTGACTGGTGTGAGGTGATATCTCATTGTAGTTTTGATGTATTTTCCTGATGATGAGTGATGTTAAGCATCTTTTCATGTGTCTGTTAGCCATCTGTATGTCTTCTCTGGAAAAATGTTTATTCGTGTCTTCTGCCCATTTCTTAACTGGATTATTTGTTTTTGGGGGTGTTGAGTTGGATAAGTTGGTTTTTTTTTTTAATTTTTTATTGTTATGTTAATCACCATACATTACATCATTAGTTTTTGATAAGTTGTTTTTTTTTTTTAAGATTTTATTTATTTACTTGAGAGAGAGCACACGAGAGCACATACATGAATTGGGGGCAGAGGCAGAGGAAGAAGCAGACTCCCCGCTGAGCAGGGAGGCCGATGTGGGGCTCGATCACAGGACTGAGATCATGACCTGAGCTGAAGGCAGACACTTAACTGACTGAGCCACCCAGGTGCGCCTGATAAGTTCTTTATAGGTTTTGGTTACTAACCCTATATCAGATATATTACTTGCAAATATCTCCTCCCATGGAGGAGGCTACCTTTTAGTTTTGTTGATTGTTTCCTTTGCTGTGCAGAAGCTTTTTATTTTTATAAAGTCCCAATAGTTTATTTTTGCTTTTGCTTCTGTTGCCTCAGGAGACATCTAGTAAAAAGTTGCTCTGGCCAGTGTCAAAGAGGTTGCTGCCTGTGTTCTCCTTTAGGATTTTGATGGTTTCCTGTCTCAAATTTAGGTCTTTCATCCATTTTGGATTTATTTTTGTGTATAGTGTAAGAAAGTGGTCTGGTTTCATTCTTCTGCATGTGGCTGTCCAGTTTTCCCAACACCATTTGTTGAAGAGACTTTTTTCCATTGGATATTCTTTCCTGCTTTGTCGAAGATTAGTTGGCCATATGGTTGTGGGTCCATTTTGGGTTTTCTATTCTGTTTCATTGATCTATGTGTCTGTTTTTGTGCCAGTACCATACTGTTTTGATGATTACAGCTTTGTAATAGAGCTTGAAGTCCAGAATTGTGAGGCCTCCAGCTTTGCTTATCATTTTCAAAATTGCTTTGGCTATATGGGGTCTTTTGTGGTTCCATACATTTTAGGATTGTTCTAGCTCTGAAAAATGCTGTGTGTATTTTGATAGATACCATTAAATGTGTAGATTGCTTTGGGTAGTATAGACATTTTAACAATATTTGTTCTTCCAATCCATGAGAGTGGAAGTGGGGAAAATTTTTAAAACTTTGTGACCATATCTAATTTGAAAGCATTCTAAATCATAGCACTTAATGGCCTAGTTTCACTCTCTAAACAAGAACCACATTCATCTGCTATATGTATATATTATACATATTTATATTTAAAACTAATAATATTAGGAAATCTTCTAATGAGATTTTAGATTTAAAAATGTCTCAGATTAAAGACAAGCTACTCAATGGGAGAAGTATTTGCAAATGACAGCTCTGATAAAGGGTTAGTATCCAAAATATATAAGGAACTGATACAGCTCAACACCCAAAAAACAAATAATCCAATTAAAAAATGGGCAGAAGACATGAGCAGGCATTTCTCCAAAGAAGACATATGGATGGATGGCCAGCAGGCACATGAAGAGCTGTTCAACATCACTCATCATCATTCAGATCAAAACTGCAATCAAATCTTTGAACTACACTCAAATCAAAATTACAATGAGATATCACCTCACACCTGTCAGAATAGCTAAAACCAAAAATGCAAGAAACAACAGGTGTTAGCGAGAATGCAGAGAAATAAGAACTCCCCGTGCATTGTTGGTGGGAGTGCAAATTGGTGCAGCCACTGTGGAAAACAGTATAGCGGTTCCTCAAGAAGTTAAAAACAGAACTGCCCTACGATCCAGGAATCACACTACTGGGTATTTACCCAAAAAATACAAATACATTAATTTAAAGAGATACATGCACCCCTGTGTTTATTGCAGCATTATTTACAATATGAAAATTGTAAGCAGCCAGTGAATGAAACCCAAATATGAGAGCAGCCCGAGTGTCCATTGATAGATAAATGGATAAAGGAGAAGTGCTGTGTGTGTGTGTATATATATATATATATATATATATATATACACACACATATACACAATGGAATATTATGTAGTCATAAAAAGAAATGAAATCTCGCCTTTGGGAACAACATGGAAGGAGCTAGAGGGTATAATGCTAAATGAAATAAGTCAGTTGGAGAAAGACAAATATATGATTTCACTCATATATGGAATTTAAGAAACAAAACAAACGAGCAAAGTTAAAAAAAAAAAAGAAAGAAAAAGACAAACCAAGAAACAGACTCTTAACTATAGAGAACAAACTGATGGTTACCGGAGGGGAGAGGGGTGGGGAGTTGGGGGAAATAGGTGAAGGGAATTAAGAGTACACTTATCATGATGAGCACTGAGTAATGTATGAAATTGTTGAACCACTATATTGTACACCTGAAACTCACGTAACACTATGTTAAGTATACTGGAATTCAAAAAAAATTTTTAAACTCTCAGATTAAAATGAAAGACTAGCTGCATGAGTAACCCTTCCTCAACCCTTTTTACCCTCACCACCCCTCTCCCCCACCCCAAGAAAAGGAAAGCTGTGTTAGGACTTGTACATGTGAGTATAAATTACTATCACACCAAATGGCAGCATGTGTGAATGTTAATGGCACTTTAATTTGTAGGATTGCTTCTTATATGACTTTTAAGTATAGGCTGTTCAGAGAAAGATTAAATTTTGTCCTCAGATAAACCTGATACAGCTATTTAAATAGTGACTATTTTATTCCAAAATCAGCTGAGAACATAATACTGTTATTTTTAAAGGTTTAAACTTTGATATTTGTTTGCAAAGAGCCTTCTATAAAGATCTAAAAACACTTTTGGGAATGGTAGTTTGCTGAAGATGGTATGTGATCACAAGTGTTAACTTAGGCAGTAGTTAACTTGTTCCTGGAACATGTTGTCTGCGATTTCAGTCCTTTCCCCTCACCTTGATTACAGAGAGGTACAGAAAGCAGTCAACACTGCCCAGGGATTATTTCAGAGATGGACAGAGCTCCTCCAGGACCCTTCCACAGCAACGAGGGAAGAAATCGACTGGACCACCAACGAGCTGAGAAACAACCTCCGGAGCATAGAGTGGGATCTCGAGGACCTTGACGAGACCATCAATATCCTTTTCTATGGTGCCTATGCCTTTGGGGTCAACAGAAAAGTGAACATGTTTTTATCCTGATTTCTCAAGTACATCATTAAGATACTTCCTTTTATAATGATTGATACTGCTTTTATTTGTCCCATGACACACTTGAAATAATTGCCTAGTAAGCTAAGGGGTAGGGGCCACCTTCTTCTACAGTGCGTGATAAATCCGGCAACGTGGAGACAGTGTGGTGCAGTGGTTATAAGCTCGGACCCTGAAGGCAGACCGTGTGTTCAAGTCGTGGCTACACCAGTTACTAACTTTGTGACTTTGGGCACCTTGCTCTCTGCTTCAGTTTCCTCTTCTGTAGAAAGTTAAGATAACAGTAGTTACTATCTCATAGGGTTGTTGAAAGTTGAGCAGGTAAGTGTGGGGCCTGACACGCAGTGAGCTTCTGTGAGTGTTAGTCACTATTCCATAGAGGTGTATACAGACCAGTGTCCTACATGGTTAATTAGAAATCAAAAGAAAATCCTTTTGTAGACTGTCTTTTTCCTGTTCAAGAAGTGATGTGTTACAACGCCAGTGTCCATCAGAGAGCATTTTGTGCCATGAAACTGCATTTAGTCAAAGCAGATCTGTTCTGTTAAGTCATGCTGTTGATGGGAGGTCCACTGACCTGACTGGCGAACCAGAGAATGATGGCCTTTTTTCAGCTGGAAAAATTCCAGTTAATCAAAAATTTTGAAGATATGCCAGTTGCATGTTCTCAGTTCTCTCTTGTTCTCTCTGTAAGTGTGATCTAGGAAACCAGCTTTTCAGGTTCATATGCAGTTAATAAGTGGAGGTCATAATCTATTTATAATATTTCTATTCATCATATGACGCTGGGTGCCTTTTAAATTATTTTTAAAAGTATATTGTTAAAAATTAGTGGAACAAAATGTGTGAGAAGGTGGGATCAAAAACACAGGTACAGGGAGATAGCTTGAGATAGAGGGAAGAGAAGAATATTGGGGAGACAGAAATTGTGAGAGAAAGAAGACGGGTGTTAACAGATACACGCACACCTTGGAGATACTGTGGTTCGGTTCCAGACCAGCACAGTAAGGGGAGTATCGTGGTCTGAGTAAAGCGACTCAAGTGAATTTTTAGGGTTTCCTGGTGCATATAAAAGTTATGTCTACACTATACGGTAGTCTGTTAAGTGTGCAGTAGTATTTTTTTTTTTTAAAGATTTTATTTATTCATGAGAGACAGAGAGAGAGAGAGAAAGGCAGAGGGAAAAGTAGGCTCCCAAGGAGCAGGGAGCCCGATGCGGGACTCGATCCCAGGACCCTGGGATCATGACCTGAGCTGAAGGCAGACGCTTAACCATCTGAGCC